ATTTTGGGTGGATACAAATCAATTTATGACACTGGTGAAATCCATACTGAAATCTTCATCAGTGTTTGTTTTTAGCAGTCAAAAACTGTACCACTTCCACACTGAAGTTTGTAATTAATAAAAAAACTATTCTTTCCTAACAAGCTCACAATTCCTAAATTCTTAACGTACAGGAAATAAAATATTATTTTCCAAAGTTCATCTTTCAAAAAAGAAGTGACGAAAGTACATTTATCTTTGCTTATAACACCAGTCTATGGTCCTAAAGGTGATTTTCTGATGAGTCTTGATGGTGCTAATGAGCAGATGCACAATCTCCTGGAGAGTCAGTCACAGTCAGTTTTGATGGGAGGGCACGTAAAACAACAATCAGCAAAAGCGGTTCATTTTTAACCTTGTCGGAGAGCCTACACTAGCACTAGCCTTTTTCTCTTACAGGCGGAGGTCATTAATTTAGAAACATGCAAATCAAAACCACAGTGAGATACATTTCACTCCGCTAGGCTAGCTGACAGATGAACTCTGCTGGTGGGGTTCATCAAGTTGTGCTGCCATCTCAAAGGAGGAGCCTCTGGAGGTTCAAATCTACCACTGGTTCCACCATGGAAAGATGGGCAATCTCCTTCTGTATGATTCCCAGCCTTAAAAAAATCTGCTAGAGGGTCAGTTGTAGGTTGGTTCCAACAGACCAGCAATGACTTAAGGAGAGCTAACAATAATTTGATTAAAAGGTAAAAAAAAACCCCAAACCCAAAAATACCACCACAAAACAAAACAAAACCTGACAACAAAATGAACAAATGTTGAAATGTTGTCAAGGAGATGGAGAAATTGGAATCCTCATTCCCACTGCTGGTGGGAATGCAAAATATTATAGCCAATGCAGCAAATAGCTGAACTACGTCCAAAAAGTAGTATTCCTGGAGCTCAGGTGGGTCAGTGGTAAAGTGGTAGAGAACTGCACTGGCAACGCAAAGGTAAGTGGGCTTAATTCACCAGCTACCTTCCGGGAGCAAAAGAGGCAACCTCCGCCTGTGTGATTTACTGCCTCTGACTTGAAGGTACACAACAACAACAACTATGCTATCAGGGGCCATCAACTTGGCTCTGATTTGTAGCAAACCTATGACAATCCAAAGAAACTCTGCCTGATTTGTCATCCTTGCCCCCTGTACTATGTTGCAGGTACTTGTCAGTCTATCTTGTCGAGTTAGTTTCTCTTTTTTGCAGATCCACTTTTTCAACTATGATGACGTGATCCACGTTACACGTGAGGCAGAGTCACACCGTCTGTGTAGCTAAGATGCACTCTTGCTGCAATTCTTTCAAGACAGATTTTGGCAGTTTGTGGCATATTCAATATCAAAGGCAGGACTTATTCTTTCATTTTTCCTTATTCTTCAACTTTCACATACACATGAGACATTTGAAAATGCAATGGCTTGCAGCAGACACATCTGAAGTCTCTAGGTGGATTCTGTTCTTTAGCACTATCAAGAGGTCCTTGGTAGCAGATTCAACCCATCGCAATACGTCATTTGATTTCTCTACTGCTGCGTCCAGGGGTATTGATTGTGGATCCAACTAAAACAAAATTCTTGATAACTACTTTTTTTTTAATCACAATGTTGTTCTAAGGATTTTTATTTTCTTTGTTAAGGTGTAATCTATACTGAAGGCTTCACCAATAAGCGTGTCAAGTCTTCAAGTATTTGCCAGCAAAGTTATGTCCTTTGCCTATCACAAGTCTTTCCCCAATCCTGATACCACATTCTTTTTCATATAATCCATTGCTTGGATTGTTTGTTCAGCATATAGTACTATCCAAGGACCTAGCAATTCCAACCCCAGGTATATGCCCAAGAGACTTGAAAACAGTAACACAAACAGATACATGCATATCAAGAGTCAACGCAGCATTATTCTCAATATCCAAATGGTGGAAACAACATAATGTCCATCAACAGACCTATGTATTATGCTGAGTGAAATAAATCCACCACAAAAGGATAAATATTGCATGATATCACTGTAGGATTGTGGTATATCTAAAATAGGTCTTGCTTGCTAAAGAGTTTGGGATTGAACAAGCATGAATGACTGACTCGCCAGTAACTCCCCCAGTTGCACAGTTAGCAGGGGCATTGAGTAGACTCTCTGCTAGCTAACAGGTACTGATTTACTGCCCTAATCTGGTTATCAGTTAGTAAATTCTCAAAAGCCTCAGTACTTCCCCCAAAATCCTTTCCAACTCTTTCACTTTCCTCTCCCTTCCTCCTATGTCCTCCTGGTAGCACAGATGTCACGTTCTTCTCTGTCAAATGTGTTAATGCTAAAACGAAGTCTTGGAGTGTGTGCAAATATAACCTAGGTAACTGTCAACGCTCCTTAGCTGGCCCTGGAATTTAATGCTATTTTCTTGTACATACTTTTCCTTCATTACAAGCCTTCAGTCTGATCAATCTGGCTTTTACTACCTCTTTCTGGAAATGGAACAAAACCTTTCCAGGAGAGTTTCAGTGCTACTTCACTGACCAGGACTCCAGCCTTGACCTGTGGCATTGTTCTAACTTCTGGCTTAGTGAGATACTATCACCCACACTGGAATAGATACATGTATGAACACCAAAGCTGATTAGTAGTTAGCAAGGGTGGGAGGAATGCGGAAAGCGGGGCCCACTGTTTAGGAAGCAGTGAGTTTTAGTTTATGATGATGGGAAATTTGGTAAAGATTATGAGGGTCTTATCTATAAATCATGTAATTGATATCAACCAACTATACACCTGAAAACGTTAAACTGGTCAAATGTTGTGTTATACATATATTTATAATTTTAAAATGTTTCTATATAATGTAATTACAACCTAGAATTTTAATTCCAGATAACTGCTCCCTAGGTAGTCACTGGATGGCTGTGGGAGAATAGTAATGGGCGTCTCACAAAGTCCTAAAGTTGCCGCCAGCTCTCAGAGAAAACGGAACTGAAAAGTGAGGCCATGCTCACGTCCCCTCAGAAGGCTGACACATTTGCTCACCCTCTCCTTTTCTTTCCCTCTCATCTATTAACTACGTACAACTTTTAACTGTTCTATCACTTTTTAGTATTTCTTCACCCTTCAGTACAAACTGTTTTGTGTCCTCCTGGTCTATGGTAGGATATCAATAGATAAAGAGATAAAAAAAGATCAAGACAGAACATCATAGAGCAGTGAAAAACTGACAAAAAAAGTTCACACTAGGGGGAGTCAGGGTAGAAAGGTGGGGGGCAGGAAGCTGCTGCTTGCTGTAAGTACAGTAGCACTTATTTGTCTTTTTCAATTGTATGAATATAGTATTTTAAAAAAACAAAGAAAATGAAACTAAAAACCAACGAACAAATAAAAACTACTATGAGCTTAAAAGAGAAAACCTCAGGGACAAACAGATGCCTTTTGGCCTTAAAACTCGGGACAATCAGCTTACATTGATAACAGTCATTAACTAAATGTTGTCTTAGTCCTAGATTCTTCCCATATAAGAGGCAAATCATTCACTATTTAGTACAGTCATGCATCACTTACTGTCCATGAATAGGATGTTATATGACTTGGATTATACAGACACTATACTGCAAACTGGTCCCGTTTTTGCTGTAACAACTTGAAAAAGCTTTGTGCCTTATGTTTGGTCCTCAATTTGTATCATTAACAATGTCTCCCATATCTGATATAGGCCATTCAACATGTTCAATAGCCTTAGAGCTTTTAGTGTCATTGATCTTGCAGAATTTTTTTTTATCCTTGTGATCATCAAGCACAATGTATATAAATTACAATCAACAGCATTCAGTGATTTTTCCATTTTATGTTGCTAAGTAACTTTTGTTTCACCTCCAAACTGACAATTTCTTTGCTCTTTGCTGTTGCACTGGTTTCCTTGCATCTGGGAGTCATGATGTGTGGATTGCCCGGCATAGTGATGGCTGGGCCACAGCTGAGACCAGAGTCCAGGCAGGGCTGAGCACCCTCTGTAGAAAGAGAATTCCGCCCAGCCATCCTGGAGGAGATACTGGATGCCCTCTGCAAACAGAAGGTTCCCCCAGACTCCCACAGGAGGGGATGCCGTGTCTGAACTTTGGTCTTGGTTTAATTGTTATGTTGGCAACACTTAAGTATAAGGGAAATAGAGCCCCTGGAGATAGAATGGTTTTATTATTATTGGCTTAAACGAAATAAAAACCACAGGGAGACTAAGAAAGGGGCCTTTCACAGTACTAAGCTGTGAGAGGACCTCTGCCTCAGCCTTCTCTTTTTCAGAATTCATTTCCTCGTGTCCCTGCTTTCTTTCTGCATTCAGTAAACAACACTGATGCACTTCACAGTCATATTTTCAAAAGAAATGGAACACAGATATATATACAGATATAGATATATAGATATAGATATAAATAATTTATATATAATGTTACATCCCCTGAGACAGTGTGATGCTTGAGTGTGGAAGCTGCTGCTTATGAGCTGAAGCATAGGCTTATGGTAAGTAGTTTAGATAGAAAGTACAGGACAGTCCATGCATAAGTCAGTAACATAGGTGTTTATTACGATTACCAAAACAGATGTGTCCTAGGCTATGGATATGCCTGGCGACAGAATTGTTTTGTATGTGAAATATTAAAAATACACACGCTATATATGGGGAGCTACTACATTTGCTACATTCTCGATCAAGATTTTGGGATTCTACTATAACCTGCTGGGACCATAGGCATGTGTGCGGTCAGATGCTGCCCAAATGGACATTATGTGGTGCATGACTGTACAGGCTGCTTTCAAAGAAGCTAGACCACATAAACCAACTTATTTTCATGTTATCAGATCAGATGGAACTGTGACCCAACACTTTTCAAGACACAAAGTCAAGTCTCATCTGTCGTGGAAACTGAGGATTACTCTTTTACGAGCTGAATGTAATCGAGCACCTGAGCCAAAGGGACAGATGTGGCTGATAGAAGTGAAATTACCTGAAGAAAGTCACGAAGAACTGTACCAGGTCCATAAAATTGCTGTGCTGCGAGAAGGCAATCTGCGAAAGAAAAACACACAGGAATCAGGGAGGCTGGAAAGCGGTGCGGCTCGAAACGGCCTTTGCGTTCCAAGGGTTAAATGAAAACCACATCTGACATTTGAAAGAAGACATTAGTGAAGCTCTTCCACTTAAAAACTGCCTCACAGCTCTGGTTTCAATTAAGCTTTTCTGTCTAACCAAAACATAACCCAAAAATGATATGCCGAGGCCTCAGCCCCCTCTGCGCTGACACGAGGTGAAAAGTCTCCCAATCTGATCCTGACTCCTACAATAAGACCCTAAGGGCAGTCAAGTTGGTACCTCCCAGCCTTGATCCCAGACAAAATGCTCTCCTTGTTTGTTTCCAGCTCCCCTTCTTGGTTCCACCTCAACACAGCCTCAAATTGTGCCTTTCAGGCCTTCAATATTTATGTAATCACTTCAAGTTGCTGCCCAATTTTTTTATTCCATCTTCAGTTTTGCTAAGTTGAGTATCATTTGCCGTCAGTTGAAATGGAAATAATTTTATTATACAATTAATAGTTTTTATAGCAAAGTTACAAAATAGTTCATCAAATCTAGGGCACCACTAACTAGGAGTCATTTTTTTATGTACTAAGGAAAAAACCAGTTAATTAAATGATAACATAAAAATCTTTAATTATCAGTAGAAAATACATCATGATTTTGGAGACCTTGGAAGGGGAACAAAAAGATATGGTCAGGATATTTTAAATATCGTTGTCTCGATATCACCTAGAACATATGCAGCACTTGCCAGAGGGTAAGGAGCTGTGATGGTGTTGTCTGCAGAAAGCTGTGGTGCTACCCCATCGCCCAGAGTCCCAGAAGGTCTGAATCCACCAGAGGCTCTGAGAGAGACAGACAGCTATGCAGTCTCCTCCCGCTGTGATTTACAGCCTTCGAAACCTGATGGTCACCAGAAGTTGAAAACAACTCAGAGGCTGTGAGCTTGTTTTTGAACCAGTTAGAATGAATTCGGATTTTAGGAAACATGCTCGAGTGTTGTTGAGTGGACTACAATTGATGGTGACCCTACTGCCAACAGATCAGAACCTTGCCCTATCCTGTGCCATCCTCACAATCTCTGATGCCTGCGATGCATTGTTACTGTGTCGATCCATCTTGCTGGGAGTCTTCCTCTCTTCTTCTGAATGTCCACCTTTCCCAGCAGTTTCTTTTTCCAAGGACTATGAGTGAGATGTTTCACCATCCTTGCCTTTCACCAAGCTTGCGCTTCCTCAAAAACAGATTTGTTTGCTCTTTGGAAGTGAATGAGGTATTAAGTTATCTTCTCCAACACCACAATTCAAAGGCACCAATTCTTCTTTGGCCTTCCTTATTCACGGTCCAACTTCCAGATGCACAGTACGCAAAAGAACATACCATGGCTTGGATCAAACACATCTTAGTCTTCAAACTAACATCCTTGCTCTCTACATTTTGGAGAGGTCCACGACAGTGGATTTTCCCAATGCATTACACCTTTGTTTGAAAAAAAAAAGTCTTTTTCCTTGCAACACACCTTTTAATTTCTTGACTACTGTTACCATGAATGTTGATTGTGGATCCAAGTAAAATTCAATCACTGACAACTTTAATATTTTTTCCAACTATTGTGATGTCTAGGAGTTAGGAAACATAGTTCTCAATTACTATTAAATATGGAGAGAATTGCACCAATACAGACAGTAAGTACGGCAAAGTTAAGAGAAATAAGTCTTGATCTTGTTTTCCTGATCCCAGTCAACATAACTGTCATCACAGCAACTCCATCTATGGTGCTTTCTTTACAGACTGACCCCAAAGAAGCAAAAGGAGAGGAGGTTTCTGCTCTTTCTGATCATCTAATTCTGACATTCCACAAATTACCTATTAATGACACAATATACTACAGTTGCTGTTATGTATTACGGAGTCAAACCGACTCATAGCTGACTCTCCAGATGGTTTTCAGAGGCAGTAAACTGTACAAGAGGAGACTGCCCATTTTTCTCCAGTGGGGAAGCTGGTAGATTTGAACCCTGTACCACCAGCGCTCCCTAAAATACTATAGGAAAAGGAATTTTAAAGTTTTGGGGACCTCTTTCATTCTTTAGAACCATAAATTTAAAGTTACAAAGATTTCCTATAATTGATATGACAAAGTCAGTCTTTGCTTTCCCTTCATTTACTGACATGGCTTTAAGCAGTCCCAAGTAAGAATGCTCTTTGAGAGAAAGCAAGTTGCAGTGAATGGGCCATGGGTCTCACAAAGGAAGCTTGTAATACGATCAACACAAGGTTATTTACTCTTAGAGAATGAAGACATTAATGGGAGAAGGAAATGGACTGGAGTTTCAGCTTTATTTACATTTTAATCTTTTAAAACATTATTATGCCCTCAATGTTTAGATTCAAAGAAGTCCATGACATGTATTTACTCACGGCTGGATATCAAAACGGCGTGGGTGCTAAGGCTTCTTTTCTGAAAATCGACCAGATTTCCCTGTGCTCTGGGCCATATCACACTCATTGAGGCAGCCCTCTCAGCACCAGGACTCCAGTCAGTCACTCTGACTAACATATTAGCCTGGTTTCTTGCTATAGCAGGGCCACACCAAGTTCATATCCAATTTCTAATCATAAAGAATCTCCTATAAATTGGATGTCTGGGTGGCTAGTACATAGACCCTGGTATTACTCGGGGGTCCCTTTTTAAAAAAGAAAAAACTCAAACAACTTATTTTATTATTTAGTGTGTGTGTGTGTGTGTGTGTACTGTCAAACTGCATTAGACTGGTATAGGAGGAGACTGTCCCTCCTCCAGCAGAGCATCTGGTGGACTCAAACCACACACCTTTGGGACTGCAGTGCAGCTTCCTCCCCTAGGCCACCAGACCCCAACCTCACATGGGTCCTTTTTGTGTTCATAGTTATAAGGTTGTGTAGGGACATAGAAGTTATAACATAAAAGTATTTATGAGTGGACTGACTACATGGAAACATCTATCCTTGCTTAACATCTGCACACATCCCACCCACCGTGCCAATCTTTGAAGAACTTACTGTTTAAACTAAGATATTTCTGAGTGTGAGAGAAAATGCTGTTAAGAATTACACTGTGACAAACATCAATTGAACTCTCCATACTCAGAGACTGCCACACCATTAGCAGTAAGATCAATCTTGCAAAAGAGAAAGATTTTTGTGAAAATGTGGTTGGACAACTGCTTACACAAGGCCAGTGACAAGGAGAACTTGTCAGATTTAGCCCTCCTATGGGAAAGGTGGAGGGTCAGGGAAAGAGCCAAAGATCCTCCACAAGATGGATTTATACAGCAACTCTAACAACGGTTTGAGCATTGCAGAGATAGTGCGGATGGGGCAGCATGGGGAAAGACTCGGATCTGCCATTCATACTATGAGTTCACTATGAGTTGTTGACGACTTGATTGTATCTAGCAAAAAAATCAATTAACACGATGCCGTAAATGACAGGAAATGTGTTTCTAAGCATGGCTGTCAATTTTAAAAGTGTGTGGCAACATGCTAAAGAAAGAATAAAGGAAGAAGACATAACAGGTGCTTTAAAACAGTCTAAACAGGATTAAGAGGGGATTTTGGGAAAACTGATGAGGCTTCTAGCCTGTCTTTAAAATCATGCTATAAACTCAACTTTGAAGTCAAAGATCTCATTACTGAGCTATTGCATCTCTAAGGAGCCTCCACACAGCTGAAGCCACATCTCTCTGTTTTGATCTACTGTCTGCTGAGAAGGGTGGGCAATCTCCTCCCATGAGATTAACTGCCTCTGAAAACCAGTTGGCGGCTCAGGTATGAGCTGGGTCTGACTTGAAGGTACCTCTTAGACCTTCTTCATACATTATTTATGATCTTTCCCCCCACTGACAATAAGATCAGGAGACAGGGGCTTTACATATGACTACTCAATCTCCAGTGTTTACAACGGAGAGTGGTGTATAACTTGTACAGGATATTTCCGAAATATGTGAGTATGACTATTGGCAAAACAATGACTCGTTCCTCTTGTGCCCTGTTTCTCCTCAAAAACACAGTAAGACAAAATTTTTCTTTTCTTCTAAAACTTGGCTCGTGACTGCAATCATGATTTACATTCCATTAACTGTAAGATTAAAAGACACATTTCTCCTATTGTTTGGCTTCCTCTTTCCAGAGGCTGTATTCCAACCAGACTTCTTTCATAATTTATGAAAATGCTAACGTAGATTTGTGGTGTTTTCCTGACTCTGACAGCGAGGAGGACTTCCTATATTAAAATCTATTTTATTCATTCATTCATTTATTTATTTAAAAAAATCTATTTAACATCAAGAAACAAAATATCAGATTAAAAAAAAATCTCATCGTAATTTGCAAATAATCAAATGTTCGTTGTTCTGCCTTTTAAAACGGTAAATAATATTCTCCACATTCTAGAAAATCATCAGTACTGCATTGGGAAAGTGTTGCTAGGGACCTCTCTAAAGTACTGAGGAGCAATGATGTCAGCTGAAAGGGAAAAGTGTGCCTGATTCAGGCCATGGTCTTTTCAATCTCTTGTAATGCATCTGAGAGCTGGACAATAGAAAAGTCTGACAGAAGAACTGATGCCTTTGAGTTGTGATGTTACAGAAGAGTACTGAATGGACTTTCAAAAGAACAAACGTGTATTTCCTGGAGAAAACACAGCCAGAATACTCCTTGGAGGCAAGAATGGTGAAGCTCCATCTCACATACTTTCAGCACGTTGTTAGGAGGGATGTTACTTGTAAAGAGACATCATGCTTGGAATGGAGAGTCATGAAAAGAAAGACCTCAACGAGGTGGAGAGACACAGTGAATGCAGCATGGGCTTCCAGTATGTCGGAGATGGTGAAGATGGCACCGCATAGGACAGGGTTCCTTATCTGTAGTTCACAGCGTTGCTATGAACTGTATTTAACCTGATGATGCCGGCGGAAGCGGCAGCAATAGCAACAACATCTCGACAGGTG